TCGACAATTTTGTTTGTTTATGTTGCCGTTTAAATCGAAATGGGCCTCGTCAGACATGAAAAAACAGTTCAACATGTTTCTATCCTCTTCCACCAATTGAAGCATCCTCTGGCAAAATTCCAAGCGAATCGGCAAGTCTGCAGCGTTCAGTTTGTTGGCCATTTAATTTTATATGGGAATAAGTCCAAATCTTTGTGCATAATTGACTGTAATGACTGTCTGCTTACACCCATTTGAGCAGATAAGCTTCTTGTCGAAACACGTGGATTGTTTTGTATGGCAGCAGCGATTGTTTCCTCCGTTTGAACTGAAGGGTTTCGATGGTAAAGTCTTCTGTTGACAGTCCCATGCCCGGCAAAATTGCTTACACGTCTTGGTCCATCTGCTCGGAGGTTTGCCGCCAAACGTGCGCCTATACTCTCTTTGAACCGAAACTACGGACTCCAGTGCGTGATAGTGGCGGACAATCCAAATTCTCCCTTTCTTAATAATAATGTATCTTTTAATCAATTCTTCTATACTTTCCTTAGTCGCCATTATTCTAAAATAAAGATTGTCGAACTTCTGGTTAACTTTATACTGTAGAAATCGGTCGATTTGTAAGATATCATAACATACTTAGCATACAATACTGGATGTAAAAGATTCTAGCACACTCTATACCGTAGATAACGAGCAATGTGTCTATTATCTTTCTAAATATGCGTGGAAACCTATTCTCGAGTATTTCATGACAAATGGCTTGCATTAGTCGAAATGAGCGATGTTTCAATTGTAATAAAGCTCAGACGTTTTTTTAAATTTAATGCGGTTTAATGCTGAAGTTTATTATAAATTGGTCTAAACCACATTCTAATATAATGATTTCTGATTCTCTGTCATCCATCGAGAGATCTATGAACATATATTATCCATGTACGAGGTGTGTTCAAAAAGTACGCGAATTTTGAATTTTCATTTTGAAAGTTCATTTAATTGTTGACAGCTGCATTGGATCGTCTTCGATTTTTACCTATTCAAAAAACGGATCAAAGAACCCCTATCAAATTTTGTGTGAAAAACTAAATTAACTGCGCGGATGCATTCCGAATATTGACTGTGGCATACGGAGAAGCTACCTTGGACTGAAGCAACGTTTATCGGTGGTACAAAATGTTCTCAGAAGGCCGAGAGGATGTGACAAAAATTGGCTTTTGTACCACGATAACGCCCCTGCTCACACATCGCTGCTTGTGCGCGACTTTTTGGCCAAAAACAACACACTAATGATGCCGCAGCCACCGTATTCCCCAGATCTGGCCCCCTGTGACTTTTTCCTGTTCCCTAAACTGAAGAGGCCCATGAAAGGACGACGTTACGCTTCTCTTGACGAGAAGTTTTTGAAGTGCTTCTAAGATTGGAAAAACCGTTGGCACAAGTGTATAATATSTCATGGGGATTACTTTGAAGGGGACAAAATAGATATTCGTGAATAAATAAAAAAATTTTGAAAAAACACAAAATTCGCGATACTCTTTGAACACACGTATATCATCCATATCTTCTTCTTCTTAATTGGCGTAGACACCGCTTACGCGATTATAGCCAAGTTTACAACAGCGCGCCAGTCGTTTTTTCTTTTCGCTACCTGGCGCCAATTGGATAGTCCAAGCGTAGCCAGGTCCTTCTCCACCTGGTCCTTCCAACGGAGTGGAGGTCTTCCTCTTCCTCTGCTTCCCCCGGCGGGTACAGCGCCGAATACTTGCAGAGATGGAGTGTTTTCGTCCATTCGGACAACATGACTTAGCCAGCGTAGCCGCTGTCTTTTAATTCGCTGAACTATGTCAATGTCGCCATATATCTCGTACAGCTCATCGTTCCATCGAATGCGATACTCGCCGTGGCCTACGCGCAAAGGACCATAAATCTTTCGCAGAACTTTTCTCTCGAAAACTCGCAACGTCAACTCAGCAGTTGTTGTCATCGTCCAAGCCTCTGCACCATACAGCAGGACGGGTATTATGAGTGACTTATAGAGTTTGGTTTTTGTTTGTCGTTTTTCGGCACCTGAAGAGGCGGTTGATGCGTTCAAAATGCATGTTTTGGAGATACCTCAAAGTCTCAAAAGTGTATCGAAAATTAGTTCCAACGCATTCAAAAGTATATGTGTATATATATACTTCGAACTCAAGAGTAACTGTGGAATCCAAATAGAAATTTCTCGTTAGTTATGAATGTATTTGTTTCATGATCGCATGAAGTTTGATTAACGACAGCTGAACGATGTGTTGTGTAAATGTAAAACCATAGAAGCTGACTTCGCCCGCGAGCTCAAGGCGTCGATATAGCTGTTATATGCTCGTATGTAGTTTCAATCACTTGTACTATTTATTTCGGCACTTATGTACGTGTTGTTTATATTATAATACTGTGCAAGGAGCGTTCCAAGTAAACAGGCCTTTAAAAAACCAACAGAACAAATGGTTTTTTCGGCAAAATCAATTTATTTTATTCAAAACAGCTTCGTTCAATACAGCTTTTCACGGTCCAAAAACATATCGAAAGAGCGTTTTAGCTCGTTGGTCGGTATGGTCGCCAGTACGCCGTTGCAAGCCTTTTGAATGGACTCTACGTCTGCATAACTCTTTCCTTTCATGGGTAAATGCATTTTTCCGAAAAGGAAGAAGTCGCACGGTGCCATATCAGGTGGGGATTGGTTAATGGTTAATATGAAGTTTTTCACCTCTTTAATAATGTCCTTCGAATGTTGGATTCTGAGCAATTTTTGGTCGTCAGTCAAATTGTGCGGAACAAACCGTGCAGACACCTTTCGTAATCCCAAATATATGGTTTAAATGCGATAAATCAATATTTTTGAGATGTTGAATCACATCTCCATGAATTTCAATGATGGTTTCGGCTGATTTTTGAATTCATACACAGTTTCGAGGGAATTTTCGGTGATCACGGATTTTGATTGGCCCACATGGTGATCGTCATTTATGTCCGCACGACCACTTTGAAAACGTTGAAACCACTTGTTTTATCAATTGAAACGTTTCGGTAAAAGTTTTACCAATTTTAAAACAAAATTTAATGTTAGTTCTTTGTTCGAAGCTCATTTTCGAGCAGATAACGCAAGCATATTGACGTTTAAAACGCAATAACTTCACTTCCAATCAATAAAATGTCATAAAATTCTCACTGGACAATTGATAAAAGTAGTAGACTAGTCGACAGATAGATGCGCCACCTAATTATTTATTAATTAAATATAATGCGGAAATATAAAATGCAACTACAACATTCAAAATGCATAAATATAGTATAATAAAATATAAATTTATTAAAACAGTATTAAACAGGTGTTTGCTTGGTGTGCTTTATAAAATACTAAACTAAAATCATAATTTTCTATTTGCTAAATCTAACACTGAGATCATTGTGCTAACGTCATTTTATTTCTACTGGCGTTATAGCCGGTTATAGCCAGCTTACTGTTCATTTTTTACGTAGAGGGTCCCAAAACCAGCGCCCAACCTTGTGTAGGAGATGTTTCGCCTTCTCACTTGAGCTCGCTTTCAAACAGATGTTCTTGGTCTACCCAGAGGATACTTGGTCAAAGATCGGAAGCCGTGATCTGCTTGAGCCATATGTAAAATAATCATTTCTGGTCACTCCCAAGTGAATGATCAAGCGATCAGAGAACTTTTCTCACTTGTGTGAACTTCTACACATGTCGCCATCCTAAAGTCATTTACTATTCATAAATCCTGCTTACCAAAGTGCGAAATGTATTACTTTTATATTTACTAATTTATTTGCAATTGTATGAGAGATAGACTTACTATTACTTAATACAAACAGTGTTGTTCAATAGCTTGAAGATAGTAATAGTATTTTGCATAAGCGCTTTCTATATTTAGGCCGTGATGAATGGGACTCGAGTATATAAAAATCAAGATGCACATAACATTGCTTATTTTGGAAAAAATACGTGTAGACAGCTTTAGATACTATGATCTGATGCTACCAGAGAGTAACTGGTTTAGTATATATTTCGACTACTTTTTTTATATTTATAATGAATTTGAATGGTTTAAATATGTACCAATTTTTTCGAAAACTTTTTGCCATTTTTCCATTAGAGACATTATTCCATCAGTCAACTTTTCTGGTTTTCACAATCTTTTCTTGAAGTCAACTTTACTCCATTAAGGGAATTCTGCATTGACTGAAACAAATAGTAATCCGATGGTGCAAGGTCAGGGCTATATGGTGGATGCATCAAAACTTCCCAGCCAAGCTCTCTTAGTTTTTGCCGAATCATCAAAGATATGTGTGGTCTAGCGTTGTCATAATGGAAGACGAAGCTCTTTGTGTTGATCAGTTCTGGCCGTTTTTTCCATTGCTTGCTTCAATCTCATCAGTTTTTGACAGTTTTTTTTTTAAATAATGCTTAAAATCTCACTTTTCCAACACTATATGGTATGACACTGGAAATATACGACTGCAACGATATCTATTGAATAAATAAGAAAAGACTTTTTCGACTACCCAATATTGCATATACCCACGTATAGCATATATGTATATATGTATATTAAAAAGTTAAAATCAAACAGAATACAATAATTTACTATAACATTTGATTACATTTTGCTCAAATTCATATATGTCTATCTATGTATTATGTGCCCATATATGTACATATGTATTAAAAAGTAAATTAATTCGTATATACTAAAGCGTGGATTAATTTCTGCGACTAGCAATAGGAAGCGCTCTCCACACCAATCGAAATTAAGGCACACATATATATGCAACCACTGGCCTGTGATCCTAGTTAAAATGAAACAAAGCGAGTCAAACGTATGAGCGAAAGAACGGCCGCAAACTAACGATCGTGTGGAGTGAACGAAGCGTAACGAGGTTTGACTTTGCTTTGTACTGCTCTGCTCTACACCAGGTATAATAATTTTTGTTGCAAAGGTAGTTTTAATCGAGATCTTATTGTTTGCGGATGTTCCGGAGCGCAGGAATAATAAAATTGTTTTCTTACAGAAGTAAAATAAAAAAAAACTATTTCTTCAAATTCAAATCTCAATACGAAACTCTGTGCAACAGTTAAGAGAGCAACGAGTGACAGAAAAAATATTTTAAATTTGTGTGATATAAGTGTAATACATACATATAAATGCAAATTTATATTATAATGATTTATAAATATTAATTTCTTCGATCATTTTGCAACAAATTCAGTCGTTTCAGTGCGGATCGTGTAAGGATCAATTAAAATCCATAAGAGTGTTCGTAATTGTATAATGTTTTACTTAATATTAAACCCTCGTTTTGATATGACAACCTCTTTTATATTCACAAAGCAAGAATCACTCGGGATAAATAAACATTAAATACATAACGGAGTTTACTGTTTTTTGAGATTCTTATGAATCCCAAAAATTATTTATAATTTAAAAATTAAGATAATATAGTCTTGTAACCAAAAATTCTATATCTAGTGTACTAATCAGTAAAATGTTTGTAACTAATTTGGTCATTTGTGAGAAGAAAATTTATAT